AGCTGATTACGGTACGTCTGTGTTTAAAAGAAAGATAAGAGAGACTATTGAAATTAATAGATTAGGAAATACGTTAAATGTGAGGAGCGGTGGTAGAAAGTTGAGTAGGAATTACTTATGCTTGATTGATAGATTGAAAGAGAGAGAGGGTGTTGAGGCCTGCAAAAAGAAGACGATTAATTTATCTGCACCGTGATGGTTCTAATTTCACTCACATTCCTCAAAATGTTAGAGTAAGCTCTTTAAACAATCAGGCATTTCAGATTACGCAACCCCAGTCTTGCTTTTCCTTGGAGGCAAGGAAAGATTAGGACAAGTGGTTTCGTAACTTGATTATCATGCTTACAAGCTCATATTTCATTATCTAAACCATATTTATTTATGGACTTAGGCAGTCTCAGTCAAAGTTTTTCTCTTGGGTTATTAGGTCGTGAGGATCAGAACCAGAGATTTAACCTTTTACAAATCTGATTTAGAAACCGTTTTGCATATAGACTCTAACACGCACAAATATGCATACTCATACAATCGAGCAAAAATAACAGAACCAGCATGAAAAAAATTAACCAAACCACTCTATATCGATGTATATAGGTTTTTAATTTTTAGGCTCGATTGAGTCTATATAAGAAGTAAGATAGAGCCTGATAGTGTTCTTGCTTTACTGTTAACATGAGACTTTTACAAGAATGACACCCAGCTCTGATGACGTCCGTCGAATAATGGACAAAAGCTCAGCACGTTTTTACCCAAAACGAGGGAGGAAGTCTCGTGGACTGCATCAACATGAATATCGTATAAAAGCCAAACGGCTGCAGTACAACGAGATTCATCCGTCCTCATCTGATTAGATCGACCAACGAATCTCTTCTTCATGCATTTTCATTCGAAATGAAGGTCCCCTTAACAATATTCCCACAATCATATGAATTGGCCTTACGATTCCATTGAGTTCCACTCAGCTTCGCTTTTCAAAAGATACTTCCATCCAGAGTGGACTAGAGTTTCGACCTCGCACTATCCGAACTCGATTCCCGCTGGAGGTGATGATGAGACCCAGGCAAGGTCAAAATTGTAGTCAACTCTGAATGAGGATACCTTTCGGGAAGCAAGGCTATGTAACATACGCTGTACGCGTAAGATCTACTCATATCATTGTGGGATAATTCAACAATGAATCTTTAATCACGTTCGCTAACCTAGGCCGAATACAACGTCTATACATAGTTGTGAAACCTACTTAGTACGAATATTATGGAAATCAACTGATTTGTCCTGGGTCTATTACATCATTTGATAAAAAGATAACTTTGACTTCAAACTGACCGATAGGCCCATTGATCCCAGTTTGTTTTGTAGGCGTGCGCCAACAGACAACCCATTGGAGTGGATGGTCTCGTCGGTTTGCCAAAGCACATTTCAGCTGGAAATGTTGACTTATGCAATCGACCAAGAGCGCGTTGTGTAGGGTTGATTCGAAAGTCTTTATCCTTTGCGAAACGAATCCACTCTGGGACATAATGAATGCCCGCTTTTGTCGACTCAATATTGACACGTTTGAAGTCTTTCGGTAATTGCCGCCTGTCCGACTGACCAGATGGGCTGTGTGTCGGCCAGACAAGGCATTTGGCCACAGCATTTGTCTCGGAGTTATACGGTTTGCCATAGACATGGTCGGCCGGCATCTTCGGCAGCGAATGATGGCGCGCCTGACCGACCTGAGCTCGTTGCAGCGTCTCTCGCGTATACATTGAGGCGCGGCAGTAGCCCAACCGGCCGGGCGCTAGGCCTTCACTGCGATTCAACACATCCAAAGCATTCGATCTTGCCGGCATTATGCGGCCCTGTCAGTCTTCCGAAACACAGCCGCTGAGTGGGCGTCTGTTAACTTTACCAAAGGAGCAGACACATAAGCGTACAATCTTCCACAAGGCAGTTTGAAAACTGACCCTTTTGAGAAATGAACTAAGGCGAGGCCGATTTGCCTCTGCCTGGCTGGCAGGTGCGAACGTTGTAAGGCAATGTTGCAGGATTCGAAATTGCCTAAATCGATCGGCAGATTTAAATTGTGAACAAAGCCCGGCCTATGCCCATTCCTCCACATTAACTGGTTTATAATTCCTTTGAGCACGGAGTTTGTGCCAGTTTGACGCACAACCCCGGAGTGGTTATTCGTGCCTGGTGGAATATCACTAAATGGGTGACTTGAGTATTATTCACGGACTTAAACAGTCTCAGGCAAAGATTTTCTCTTGAATTATTAGGTCTTAAGGATTAGAACAAGAGAT